ATCATTTAAGTGCCCTAAAGGATGAAGGTAGGAATCTACAGTCTTGAAGGAGGTGCAGATCTGAGGCTCTTTGAGGTGTCAGTTTTTCCATGCATCACCTTGGGGTTCAGCTCACACTGAGAAGGGTGCTTGTGACCCCAGGCTGTGCAGGGCTGTGGCAGGACAGCAGTGGTTTAGGAGCTGGCAGCTGCTGTGCACGGGCTGTGAGTGCCTTTGGCAGAGCACAGAGCTGCAGGTTGCTGCTGAGCAGGCTCACATAGATGGGGCACCTCCAGAAGTTGTGGGGCAGTGCTGGAGATGGAGAGCAGAGGAGGCACCAGCAGCCAACACAGTGTGCTTGGGCCCCTTGTACGGTCATACTCCTCAAAGCCTGGGAGGGGCAAATACAGCAACAGCACAGGAGGTTTTAGGTGGAGGTTTGGGCTGTTTTTTTCTCACAGCTGCTCTTTCTAAGGAGCTGGAGGGAGTTCCTCCTCAGAGAGTCTTCCTGTGCTCCTGTTGCTTTTCCCTGGCTTGCAGATACCTGTAGTCCCCTTCCTTTGGAATGAAAAGTGCTAAGGGGGCAGCTCATCAAAACTGGCTTTTTTCCAGCTGCACAGGACAGCACACAGTAGTGTCACAGGCTTGATCTCCAGCCTTCCCATGCTCCACTTTAGCAATGCAACTTGGAGTTTTTGAAGGGAAGGAGGGTTGGGATGCCAGAAATCCACCTCTGCTTCCCTTGAGGCTTTTCAGTGTTGTCCTGTTGTGCCCTGTTCCAGCCTCCCCATGACTTTGAGTGACTGCACTGTGATTTGGTGATTTATGGGCAGAGCCATCCTATACCAGAATTGCCTGGCCATCAGTGCAGTCACTTCTGGGTTTTACTGATGTTCTCCTGTCAGTAGCCCTAACACAGACAAGGAGCTTCTCCCCCAGTTGTGCAGGGCTGAGATGAAAGGCTCTGGCTTGGCTGTGGTGTGTGGCGAGTTCCTGGTGTTGTTAATGGAAGCTGACAGTCCACATCCCTCTCCATCTGCTCCCAATTTATACCTCGAGGTTTATTGTCTCTGGAAAGGGTAAAATAAAGACTTGTGGAACAGAATTAGTGATTCTGAAAGCTGTAGGGGAGGTGTAGCACATCTCTCTTTCCACACTTTCAATACTAGAGGAAGAAAGACTTTAAAATCCAAGCAAAGCTCCCTCACGAGGTCTGCCTGGGATGGACCCCAACGTGTCCCTCAGGGTCTATAGCTGCCATTTGCTCCGTGCTCAGCTTCACAACAGAGGGGACTTCGGGTCTATTGTGTTTCTACAGTCTGAACTTGAGACTTTCATTCATTTACAGCCATAAGAGATGCACCAAGTCTCCTGGGCAGACCCAGAAGCCCAGATACTCTGGGGAAGATGCCACAGCTCTTGTTTCTTTGCCGTTTCTTCTCCTAGAAAGAGTTGAGATCTGCAGGTATAGAGTGCCATAATGGCTCTTTGTGTCAGTAAGGGCCACTGCCCACATTTGGGATGGAAAACCTTGCAGTGGTTTCTATCAGGAGGACAGCAGTGCTTGGAGTCTGGCTCCTCTAACCCTGGAGGGGAGTCCAGCCCACTGTGGCCTTACTTTTTATCAAGAAAAAATCAATGTGACCTCAGCAACAAGGATGGGCTCTTTGGGAAGCAAGGCAGCTGCAGCCAGGAAGGGTAGAAACAGCAGAGGCTGCTTCAGGAGCTGCTTGTGGAATCTGAGGGAATTATGGAGGAGTTGAAAGTTGACCAGAAGGTTTTAGTGCTCTTGGCAGGTTTATACAGCTGCAGGTTGCATAGAGCTGGTTCAGCTGGGGCAGTCACAAAGTGGGAGAAGAAGCTCTTCAGTGGGCTTGAAGGAATTGTGCCAAACTTCTCCAAACTCTGCTTTTCCAGCGGTGCAGAGGGAGGGAGGGGCAGCATTAATCACTGAGGACAATGGACAGTAACAAATGAAGCATGAGTTGGGGTGTGAAGGGAAGAGATGACACAAGAGAGGTTACTGTGAAAGTTCTCATGAACCTCTCTTCCATTTTACCTTCTTCTCTGTGTGGTTGGGCTTGAAAGTTTGATTTGTTGGGCCTTTATAACAGAAGAAACAACCTAAAAATAAAAAAATCTGCTAAAACCAGAAAAGGGGGGGGAGGGAAGAGAAAACATTGGATTAAGCACTTCTGTGTTTTTCTCTGAAATTTAGGAAATCCAAAAGTGGCATCTGAGTGTAGATATTTGCAAGGAAAAGCTGTAGTATTTTGCAACCTTTTGGCATAGTTCAGGGATAGAGAATTGAGGATATGGGTATGACAGTCAGCAGTTGTATGGAATGAAGCTGAGAAATGCCATGTTTGCTAATGTGCCTGGAAGTTCATTTATTCACTGACATCTGAAACACCTAAGGCCGTCTCCCCTCAATGCAGGACTTGGGAATTTGGAAAAAAAAAACTCAGTAAAATTCCTAATGTAGAATTGCTGAATGACCAGGGAGGAAAATATATTCACAAAGGAGGGCAAGTGTTTGTCAAAATTGCTGATTTGGAGGAAATGTCAGAAATTTTCTGTTTCCATTAGAGCTGTGTCTATTCAGCTCTGCTGAGCTGCTTGTATTGCATTTAATGTGTTTATACTATTTATTGTCCATTATTAAATGACACAATTTAAAGTTTATCTCTTCTGCTGTAGAAAGTGAGCAAAGTTTCTATAAATAAAATTTTTACTGGCAGAACAGGTTTAAACACTTTTTTTTTTCCTTAGAAACCCAAGTCTTAAATGTGCAGCTCCGTTTTTAAAGCCTGGGGACAAAAATCTGCATTAAGAGCATAAAGCTTCTTTAATGGCCCTGATCAGAACTGATTGATAGCTTTTCCAAACTCTGTAGCATTCCAGGTGAGATAGATGTGTTTAGTATTCTTGCAAAAAATTTAGAGTGACTTTGTTTTGCAAATAGAAATAAGAAGTTTGTTATTCTTAGCCGTGTACTTTTGGTAACATGAAAAATCCCTTCAAATTTTTATGCTAAACTGAGAGATGTGCTACAGGACACATTTTTTTATCAAGAAAGAAGTTTTAAAGAAATTATGCTTTTGGAATGTAACTAAGAAAATGAGCATACCTAATTTTCATATTCTTCTTGTGGATGACCAAGATCATCCCATTTACAGCCCATATCCATCAGAAATATAGGAAGTAAGGAGGCTGCTGGGCTTCTCCACACCAGGCAGACAGATTTTTTTTCAGGAGCCTCCCAGCTGGGCAGCTCTTGGCCAAACAAGCAGCACTTGTGTCTGTGAGCTGTGAATTACAGAATCTGGGAACTTTGAGCTGATAAAGGCTGAAATCACTTTCCCTTGGCGTCATGGGAGATCTGAATCAGTCCTATAGTGAGAGCAAAACAGGAAATCACCAATTCAAAAAGCCAGATTTGTTGAGTAATGGTCGAAATTGAGCCACTGGTCATTTCACTCCGTACTGTATAAATAGAAATGGTTAAAAGCCTCCTGGTGGAGTTTTTAGATAAATGTTATTAGAGAATGTTAGGAGATGGTGTGAGGAATGTAGCTCAAGTGGCAGCATCACCCTTTTGCTTTGGGTTGTAGTAAATGACTCCTTTTGGGTTTTTTTCTCATTGGGCTCCTATGATTTGCAAGAAAAGAGAAAAGGCAGGACATGCCTCATTCACAGAAAGTGAGGTTTTGGCATGGACAAATATTCATTAAGGACCACATAATGAAAATGCCTTAATTTTCTTTCAAATCATAGTTCCTTTAACCACTGCAGGTGTGCTCTGGGGTTTTCCCCCTTCCGCACTCTTTTCTGTAGATAATTTTCAACACTTGTTCAGGAAACCTCTGAGACAGGTTTTCCAGGTGTTTGTGTGTCAGGGGTGCAGGAGCCCAGCATTTGCTTCCCTCTGGAGAGCCCAGAACTGCTATGGAGCTGATGTCTGGGTTTCTTTTGGCTCCAGTTTTTAGTATTCAAAGTATTACAAGTGTCCTTTGCAACTTGAGGACAAATGTCTGCACTGAGTTGGCTTAGATGAGATGTTTTGGAAAAAAATTCTTGATTGTGAGGGTGGTGAGGCCCTGGCACAGGTTGACCAGAGAAGCTGTGGCTGCCCCATCCCTGGAATTGTCCAAGGCCAGGCTGGATGGGTTTTGGAGCAACCTGGGACAGGAGAAGGTGCCCTCCAAGGCAGGGCATTGGAATCAGGTCATCTTGAAGGTCTCTTCCAACCTAAACCATTCCATGATTATATACGCAGCATTATTTGAAGATAAATTTGCTGAAAACATGAAAGCCTGAGTCCTGTAGGAATTCTCACCAGCTCACAATAGCACTGGTAAAACAGTAGTGAAAAAGCTGTGAGAGGTGTATATGGCTGGTGTTATGGCTAATTTCTGGTATTTTTGGCACGTGTGTTCATTAGCATTTGAATGGCTAGAAGATTGTGAAGCATTATCAGATAAATAAGGCTAGACAGGCTGGATTGCTGCAGCTGCTGTGGGAGCCCGCTGAGCTCAGAGCAAATTTGTGATGTCTCTGTACTGAAGTGGCACAGTTGGGCTCTGGCTGATGTCCTGCAGGAAGCCTTGGTGGCTCAGGGCCCCACTGATGGCAGAGCAGCTGGAAAGGCTGCTGCAGGTCAGTCTGAGAGCTGAAATTCATCTTCAGCTCTGGCTTCAGGCCCTGGGGCATGCCTCAAGCATGGTGCCTCAAACCTCTTCTCTCCGCAGTGCCCTGTTAACCTCCGATGGAGCAGACATCCATGGAGAGTTAGGTCTGACACATCCATAGCGTATTTCACCGGAGAACATCTGGCAGAGCCCTTGCCTGCCTCTTCAGCATATGCTGCCTCATTATCTTCACTTCCTCTCTATTGTGCTTACCCCTCTCCCATTCTGATTGCGTTCAACACTCGCTTTGCAACACCAGGAGTGATCAGAAGTGAGGTCAGATGGCAGAGGAGCAGCATTCCCTGAAGTCTTTGTTACAGGAACCTGCAGGAGACAGGAGCAGATGTTTCCATCTGTGTGGAGCTGAAGAGGGAGGCCGTCCTGCTGCAGAGTTGTTTGTAGATGTGCTTCAGAGGATATTCAGTTTCCAAACTTGGGAACAAGCAGTTTGTCTGTTGCTATTCAAGTTAGAAAGGGCAGTAGGACAATCCACAGGCTGCCTTGTTTGCTTTTGCTGGGAAACAGAAAGTGTTTAGCTTGTATTGCATAGAAAGGTGTAAAATTACAGGCTGTGGAAAAGAAGTAGAAATGGCTGTTGAAGTGATGAAGCTAAAGCTGAATCCTTTATTTCTCCAGCCTGCAGGTCACACCACTGCCCTTCGTGCTCTCTGTGTGGACAAGTGATAACATGGTAGCTAATGACGAAGTAACAAATTGCTGTCCAGACTTTTAAGTACCATCCTGCAGTATCAATGTGAGCTGCCCTGTGAAATGTAATCTGTGTCAGTGATCTGCTGACAGCTGTTTTCCCCAGCTCTCGATTCACTGCTCATCTGGTGACTGCCTATTGCCCTTTCCGGCACGCACTGGCATTTCTCTGTTTCCATGGCATTGCTTTGCATGTGGAAGCAGTGCCAGAGCATGTACCTGGTGCATTTTACTGTCTTAATTGTTCTCATCTGGGAAAGAGGTATCAGCTCAACCAGCTCAATGAAGTTTGTCAGAAGTGAGGTATGAATCAGTGACTGCAGCTACCCAGAAACCTTATGCCGGTGGTTGAAGACTTGCTGCAGTATCTAAAAAAAGTGGAAAACAATTTTGTCTTACTCTAAGCTTTGTTTTAGTCTTTCCTACAGTTTGGGGATTAAGCTGTAAGTTTAGGGGGTAGTATTTTCAAGAACCTTGATGACTTAGAAGAGTCAACTCCAATTTTAAAAGGAAATTTTTTCTTGCCAGTGATTCAGAGTGTTGTCTCTAGTGCTTACTGTGCTGGCAAGCACATGCAGCAGATATAGGAGGGGGTTAAAACTTCCTAAAGAAATATTTACCATGGATACTTGGTGGCACATGTAAATGGACCCCAGATCTTTCATGCAAAGAAAGACAACTTCCTGACTACTTATGAGTCACGTTAATTGCCTTGTGACAATTATGCCTGACAAACCTCTCTGTGGTATCCAAGAGAATCACCAAAGGAATTGATCTCTGTTTAGTGCTCCACTGTCATGCAGGAGATGTTTCCATTTCACCTGTATTTGAAGAAAGTAAGGCACAGAGTAAGGAGGAGGATGTGTCCCTTGACTTTGACACCTGTAGGTGGGAATAGCTTACAGGTGTCTCGGTTTGAAAGTTGGTGAAGGAAGGCAGGAACCTCCCTTGGAACGGAAAAGGTGTCTCCCTTCCCTCGGAATTATTATAACTCGGAAATGAAGGGGGCTGTGAGGCAGAGGTTCGGGAAGAGCAGTGCCAGTTCTCTCCTAGCACGGATCAAAGGCGAGCAGAGCGCAGGGGCAGCAGCCCCAGGCAGAGCGGACCCCCAGCCCCGCCGCTCCCGCCCGCGGGCGCTTTCCCCTNCTGGAGGGCGAAGGGAGCGGCTGGAATGGCGGCGGCGGGCAGAGCCCAGAGGAGCAGTGGAAATGTAGCAGAAACTCTGCAGCCTTAGCGGGAGCGCTGCGGATCAGGCAGACACGGGGTGCTGGTTTAGAGTGTAGTGAAAAAGCCCCCTTTTCCACAGGGCGTAGCAGCTGCCGCACAAAGTTGGGAGACATGGCCTATGGGAGGAGGACGTGGTTGAGGCCCTGCATTTTCCCCTGAGGCACCTGAGGAGATGGTGAGGGTCCCTTCCAATCAAATCAGATGTTAATATGGTCACAGTGAAAAGGCTGCTCTGAAGAGCAAAGGCTCACCCACAGTAGGAGAAGCAGTGGGAAGACAAAAGCTCCAAAATGGCAGCAAATCCTCTGGGCAGCGATTGCAGACCGGCTGTGCCTCCTCCGATGCTGACAGCCAGAGAAACCAAGCCCAGCCCCTCACTACCCAGCCACTTTGCCCTTCTAGAGAGAAAACTCCCCAGGTAAGAGATAGCCAGCTGCACCCTTCCCACACCTTGGCCATTTCTTTTGTCTCAAATACTGGTCATTATTGTCTCTTAGCAACAGATGGGACAAAATTCCATGGAGGAAACAAAAGGAAAAATCCGAACTCCCAACAACAGGCTTTTTGAAATTAGGCAGCATTTCATATGCTCCAAGCACAGCTACCACTGGTTCTAAAGATACTGGCCCTGCAACAAATGAGTCTTATGGGTTCCTGCCGTGCATACTCTCTTCCCTAAAATGGGGAATGCATTGGCAGCCTTTTGTACAAGGATCAAAGTTCTCCTCACTGCAAGGGTTCTGGGGTGTTTGGCAGCCAGACTGCAGGCTCAGATATGCTGAAAACCCCATGGCTTAATGCCTGTGCCCCTGAGGGTCTCCATGTTGTGGTAGGCTGAGGCCATGAATGGTGGGATCACTGCTCACCTTTCCTAAGCACTGGGGGGACTGGGATACCACTGGAGGGCTAATGGATGGCTCTGCTGCTCGAGGGGCTGGGTATGAGCCAAAATAGAAATGGATTTTGGGCATGTGCCCATTGTGCTGCCTAGCCAGCTCACCAAGGTCACATAAGGGTTGTGGGAGTCGATGGGCTTGTGACCAGCCACTGCATACTGGACTGGAATAGCTTGGTTACTCAGGCCTACTCTGAGAGGCTGCCTGGCTGCTCCAAGAACTCCGGAGAAAAGAGGACTCTGAGGGCAAAACTGGGATTATAACCATAGGATTCTCGCTTGTCTTCCTGCATTTCCCAGCCTCATTTCTCTATTTTCTTTGAATTCCCCAAATAAATGAAGCAGAGCTTAGCAGCCTCTGTTGCTGCACATCCCCTGGGTCAAGGGGGATCTGTCTTGGGACAGTCTGGCTGGCAAATCCCTCCAGTGCAATCTGTGCCTCTTGGGTGACACAGGCACCCAGAGCTGTGCTTCCACAGGATTTATGGGGATTGTTCGGGAAGTCTTCAGCATTGAGTTTGTAGTTACCACCCCCCACAAAAATAAAAAAGGAATTTTTAGAGAAACCTGTAAGTAGTGTTCTCTTCTCTAATCAAAAGTACCAATTCTACATTAAAAATGTATTAACACAAGAAAAAAAAGGCATTTGAAATGCCTTGTTCTCCTTGTGAGATCACCCTATAGATATGGTCCACTTAATTGCAGTGCTTAATTGAGACAGCCACTTTTACTGGGACATCTCCCAGGGAGCCATTGTAGCCTAATGATTATCAATGCCAATGGTTGTTGCCTAATCAGGTCAGTGCCATAAATCCCTCTTAACAAGAATGCATTCAGTGAGTATCAAGTGATTAAACAGTGTTTAAACAGGTGTTAAATAAGTGTGGGAGGCCATGTTTAAACACAGGGAAAACCAAAATAAAGTGGAAAGCAATAGGTGTGAATCTCCAAAATATGTGCTATTTTTGTCCTTTCTTTTCATTTAGTGCAGGGTTTTCTCTGATCACTCTCAAATCTCACTTGGAATTTTTCATCTTTTATAGTGGGATGAAGAGTCCTGTGAGTGAAAGCTGGCCAAAAGCTTAGGGAATCAGCACTAACTCTCATTAGGTTTGCCACTCATGTAGGGCTTCCCAAAGATCCATAACTGCTCTAGGAATTTCTGTATATGCTGGGATGGATTTTTTGGGGGGAGGGAGGGTGAATGCTTTTTAGTGGTAGTTTATACAGCAGAGTTGTGAAATAGAGTGATAGCGATGCTGCTGGGACAGCTGAACCCTTCTGTTGCTGTTGATTTAACAGCCTTTGGATAATGTGGACAGCCAATAGCGTATGGACTGCCAGAACGCTTGTGGGTCCCTGTGCTCTGTTGCTGTCCTGAATACAAGTGGCAGTTGTCTACCTTTGTCCCCTCCCTGGCCAGAAAAGCACCTCCTTTTCCCAAGGCACGACTTAGCCTGTAATGGAAAGGTTTGCTGTGTCAGGATTCTGCTGTGCAGGCTGTGTTCTTCTCCGTTTTTTGATGTGATTATGCGCCCTACAGTCCCTATTGATTTATAACAAAATCCAGTTGTGACATATTTGATGAGAATGCAGTGCTGAATGCAATTTGGGAGAGAAGCTTAATCAGCTCTCTCTGTAAAGATCCAGAGGTGGGCATTTTCTAAAAGAAATACTTAGTATCTGATGGAAATCTTACGGCATCACAGTGAAACCTTTGGAGTGTGGGAGCCTGGAGACTGTGAGTCCATCCCACTGGTGCCGTGTGAAATCCATACAAGTGCCTTGTGCATCCAAAACAGCTGCTCACAGCTGCCTTTTCCTCATCCTGGTTTTCTAAGAAACAGGTCGATTTTCTGAGTGTTCTCATGGCCCTGATTGCTCTAACGTTTTGTTTGCAGCCTTCTAGGTTTTCACAGCTGTTTTCCTAGCAACCATGTGCTTGTGAGAGGAGTCATTTCATGTTGGTTCACTTGCAGCGCAGGGAGTCTTTGGAACCATTGCTGCAGGTTAAAAGGCAGCTATTTTGTTGTTGTTTTTATTTTGACATGAGGTTAGATCCCACTGCAAGAGAGCTGTAGTGTGTGCAAGCAGGTGCCAACTCTGTTCTCTTGATGCACTTCCTTTTATTAATCAGCAACTGGAGCTTTGTCTGGTCCTTTGGTGAAAGTTTATTTTATCTTGGAGTCTGGTTTTGTTTTCTGCTTGGCCTTCAATAACGTAGAAAATCAGAAAATGTTCATCTTTTACCCCAGGACAAGTTTTATGCACTGAATCACTCCACTGTACTAGAATAACCTTTCTTAAATTCACAAAAGTGTCATTTGGAACCTGATGAAAGATTTGGCAAACTTTTTTTTTTAAATTATATTCTAGCTCCTATTGATGTTTATAAAAATAAACAGCAAAAACAACACCCTTCCCTCCTCATGCCATACACTCATTTAATGGATCATTAGGAGGTTGAAATACAAATAGCCCTGTATTTTATTACACAGCAAGCTCGATGACCAAAGATATTTTGGAACTCACAGGAAGCATGGCTGGCATTACAGCAGCTACTTGATTTTTTGCAGTGCTTCTCCAGCTTTGCAGTACACAGCCACCAGATGCAAAGGGACAGGTTGTGATAAATCTTTAATTAGAGCCATATTTAACATTGCAGAACTAAAAACTTCCATAGAACTGGTAGAGTTGTTACTGGCATATATTTTCAGCCTCAAGGTATGTTCCCAAACTGGGTGAATTTCCATTCTGGCACAAAATTGAAGTCTCTGTTGTTTAAAGTCTTCTTGTGAATTACTGAGATGTGCAGCTTCTTTTGATTTTCTTGTTTTCAAATTTTGCACTTTTTTTTTTCATTTGTAGATGAAGTTCCAAACAAGCATAGAATTTAGCCCTTATTCTGGGAAAACAAGCAGGCAAACTCATAAATAACAAAGCAGTCTGGAATGGAAGAAACTGCTGTTATTATTATTATCCTTCTGTTAAAATCGGTCTGAAACAGTGAAAGTTAATGGTCTGGTGATGGTCCTTCCAGGGATTTAGCAAGGACAGAAAATTCATCTTAATCTGAGTTTTAGTCTAGGCATGGAAGTATAAACCCAGTCTTCCTCTTCAACTGCAGGTCAGTGGGAGTTAAGGTGTGAGTGCTCCAGGAGAGCTTGTCTGGCTCTCCAGCCCAGCTGCAGAAGGACAGAAGGGAAGACCATCAAAATTCATCTTTGGGCTCTGAGCCTCCTCGCCAGACTTTCCAGAAGCACTCTTTCCCTTCCCCAGCAGACCCCACCAAGGTGGCCATCCTTTGCTTTCTTTTTGCCATCCTTTGCTTCCCTCTGTTTGTGCCAGAGCCCACCTTACCTCAGGTCCCCTGGGAGCACAGGAAGGAAACTTGCAGAGCTTGGCATGAAGTAAAGGCAGCCCTGTGATCTTCAGTTCTCACTTCATTCCCAGTACGGTGGTTCCTCTTCTTCTGCTCTGCCCCAGATCTTGACCAGCAGAAAGTCATTCCCAGTCTGCTCCAGTGCAAAGCAGTCATTCTTTATACATCAAAATCATCTTTCCCCTGTTCCCTCCTACAGTGCTGGTGTACATCACATCAGCTCTAGGCTGGGTCAGACCTGTCACATCCATTGATTATGAGGTGCTCACTGAGGGGCCGTGTGATGGGAGAGGTGAGGATGTGGGAAAAACAACACAAACCTTCCTGAACTCTGCTGTTACTTGCAACAAGCCTTGAAATATCCTCTTGAAATATGCAAAAAGGTCAGTGAGATAATGGAAGGATTTTGCTACCTGAGCACCAGAGGCTGTGCTCTATTAAAAAGGAAATAGGGAGGGATGGGTGTGCAGCTCACCTTGGCTCCATTCCAGAGTTGGAGTGCAGTGAAGTGGAGAAGGAGAGAGCAATGCCAGCAACTGGGAGAACAGTGGCTGGGGATGAGAGACTGGGAGCAGAAGAGCCGTGAAGAAGCTAACTGGGAATGTTAACAGAGTGGATATTCGACATAGCTGAAAGGTGAGGTTAAGTCAGCAACCTCAGGAGAGCTGCAGAGCATTGGCAGAAATATAAATGAACAGCAGAGTCTTCTTAATAGATGTTAGAGTAGCTCATTGCTACATATCCAAATCTGTGTAAAATTTGGCCATTTCCTTTCTTGCCCAAATGGGAGCTACCTGAGCCCTTTTTGAAATGTTGGTCCCAATGATGAGTTGAATACTTTAGAAGCAGTGGATGGGATCAAAATTCTGTAATTTATTCTGAGACAGAATTTTTCCCTTGGCAGCAGCCATCCTTTGGGGCATGGCTGACTTGCTTTATTTTCCCCCATGCTGCTGGTCCCCTACCTTTCTGTGTTAATGCTGGCTTGATTTGTAACCAATTTGAAGGGCTGCTTTGGGCTGTCCTTTGGTTCCCATCTTAGAGATCGATGCTGTTCAGTTCATCCAAATATAAAAAACTGCTGGTTTTTTTTTTTCTTGGTCTTTCCTCTTTGTTTTGTTTTTTGTTTTGTTTTGGTTTTTTTCTGTGTGAAGAATCCAAGAGATCTGTTCATACTGGTCTCCCACAGAAAAGTTCTGTTTCTTAGAGCAGGAGAGAGGTGATTGAAGACAAAACCCAAATAAAGCAAGAACAAATCCTCTACCTCCAAACCTTGCAGGTTTTCAGAGCCGTGTGTCTCGGGACTGTGTAGATAAGAGAGGAAGGGCACTTTTTATTAAAGGAAGGAAATAAGTTGTTTGGATGACTAAAATAATGCCAAAGAAAGCAGATTAAAGAGTAAACAGAAGACAGAAGGAATAGGTGCCATTGACGTGGAGGAGTAACAAATCCTGGGAATGGGAGGTGCTTGGTGGAAACAAACGCAGAATGTGAGAAAAATGGAGAAAAGATAATTCTCCCTTGAGCCTGATGAACCTCCCAGTCCATCAGCTGCCTTTCAGAAAATCCAGGAGGATTTTGGCACCCAAATTTGACTGAATTTTCAGCCTAACATCCCTGGCATCCCAGGTTTGCCCTCATGGCAGATTCCCTGGATGGCTCGGCAGCACTGGCTGGACATGAAACAACTTCAGACCAAGTTCTGTCATCATTGAGACCTACAGCAGCCCGCAGCCCCAGGCTCCTGCTCATGTCAGATTAGACAAGAGAAGGTAGGATTTACAAGCTGTAGCTGTCAGTGGGTCACACCAGTACCAAAATCAACATTTTCAGAAGACCTCGGTCTGCTAATAGGGGACACACCTTATGAAAAAATCTTAAAATTAGACCTGACCTGTTTGAAAGCAGCTGGTCAAGATCTTGTTGAATTTGTGTACTTGAAGACTGGTCTGAGCAGGTTACAGCTTCGTGGGCATCTTCTTACAGTGCAGTAACTCAGTGGTGTTTATTGAAACCAGTGTTCTTTATAGGCTCAGTGTTCCAAGCTGTGTGTATTTATGTACCAGGCTTTTGTCTGTAGCTCCTTGGATATATTTTGAGATTGCGCTGTGCCAGTGACAATGTGGAGACCTGTGTTTGCTTTGTTCTCAGTTGGTGCTTCCTGGTCAACAGAAATAAAA